CCCCCCCCCTCTCTCTCTCTGGTCCTATCCTGTCCTGTCTGTCTCTCTCTTTGTCTTGCCCTGCTCTGCTCTGCCTTGTGATATCTCGTCGGTATGTCTGGTCGGCCGTCTTGACGCGTTGGCCCCTTACTGCAGGAGGACAGCTGAACGAGCGATCGTTCACCGAGAACCAGGTGTGCTCGGTCATGAGCCAGGTCATCCGAGCCCTCGTCTACATGCACGAGACCGCCAAGATTTGCCATCGTGACTTGAAGGTAACACGGCCTCCGACCACAAACTTGGACGCAAACGCTGCCTTTTTTTTGTGGGGAGTGGGGTGCTCTGGTTGTTATGTGGACACGCACTTTAGAAGCCGGAAGCATTTTATTAGACCCCACGGCTAACATTTTTTGGACCCCGAAATCAAATCATTTGACTGCCGAGCCTTAATCAAATCACTTGACGTGCCAACCTAGATCAGAACCATTAGACCCCACGACAAACGTTTTTTTAAGCCGAAATCAAACCGTAGACTATCCAGGAGCCCTCAGACTGGTCAGCCGCTGGCTAGTCTAATGGTTTGAGTTAGACTTCGCATTCTACCTGTGTGTCCACTGAACCCCGAGCAACATGCAGCAGTTTGGCGGCCATCTTGTGTACTAAACCACAAACCAGGCATCGACATAGTCTCACGCCTCCCCCTTCACGTGCAGCATGTTTTTTTAATGAGCGTCTTCAGCTGCGGCATCTGACTCCCTGTGGCCCCCCCCCCCCGCGATTCTGTCTGCAGATGGAGAACATCATGCTGGAGTCTCCGGACGAGCCGCTGGTGGTGAAGCTCATTGACTTCGGGCTTTCGAAAGTGTTCACGGAGGGCGACAAGATGAGAACGGCGTGTGGAACGGTCTACACGATGGCACCGGAGGTGACGATGAATACGCGCGTTCGTGGATAGAGGCAGGAGGGGAGCGAGTCCGTGTATGGTCCGATGCGTGTGAGATGTGAGGAGAGTTTGGTACAAAGCCATTGGCTAAAGCTTCATGTATCTGTATGTTCTCATGGGTGTGCGAGGTGAGTTTGATGTACCTTAGCATGCGTGCTTCGTTTGGCTACCCACCCCTTCTCCTACCCAACCTTCCTCCCCCCCCCCTATTGTATGTTCAAATGTGTATGAGGTTTGAGTAGAGTTTGATGGACCTCTGCATGCATGATTGTCCTCCAACCCCCACCCGACCTTTCTCACCCCCGCCCCTGCCCCCCACATCTTGGACCACCCGGCTGGCCCGCCCGAAACGGACACAACGCGCTCATCGTTGACGTCGAACAACAAAAAACAACAACAACAACAATTAACATGATGTACGACGACGACGACGACGACGATGGCGACGACGAAAGGTGCTTAGCGGCGCCGGCTACACGCAGAAGGCTGACTTGTGGAGCGCGGGCGTGATCGCCTTCATCCTCCTGTCCGGCACCTTCCCCTTCCTCAAGGACGAGGCCGACCTGAACGACCAGGTATAGCACAGACAGAAGAATTCGAGGGGTGGGGGGTCCCCGCGAAAAAGTGGTGTGAATGCGGTAGCTTTTTTTTCTAAAAGGCTGGTGAAGCTTGTAAATTGTGGCACTTAGGGCCCGCAGCATCTATGTGAAGCCTTCGCTCGTTACTCCTCGAAAGATCAAGTGACATCACTATCGCGTGGGAGATGCCGCGAGCGAAGGTAATCGAATGATGGGCTCGTGGACACAAACTTCCGAAAAACAACTAAAAGGGGTACACGCCGCCAAAAGAACTTCCTCTCATAGGTTCACACAAAGTACTTTCTGCATCACCAGAAACATGCACATGTATGCATGCATGAATGCATGTTGAATTCTTTCAATGGTCGTTTTTCCGATGTGTTCTGCACCTTTTATGTGCGTGTGTACACACATGCACAGGAGCAAGTGGAGCGCCTGCGGCAGGCTCGTTTCGTCTTCAACGACCCCGCCTGGAAGACCGTGTCGGCGGGCGCCAAGGGCTTCGTGCGCGGCCTACTCAAGAAGCAGCCGGGCTTCAGGTGGACGGCGAGGGAAGCGCTGGACCACTGCGCGGACACCTGGGGGCCGACGTTTTCGGTGAGGGTTAGGGGTGGTGGTGCGGGGGAAGAACGAAGTCCGGGAACTAGATCCCGCAAGGGGTTAAAGCAGGAGGTAGGACAAGCAGCCCTGTAGAGAAACATGCCCCAGCGTAGTTCGTCGTTCTCTCCTGCCCCCCTTGCCACCTGTACACAGCAAGGCAGTCAAGAGCGTGCGGATTCACGAAGTCTCCCTCTTTGGGGTCTGCGTTGTGCTTGGTCAAAAGTCAAAGTACCCCCCCCCCCCCCCCCCCCCCCCCCCCCCCCC